ATGTAGTCATACATCAGGTGAACTGTCTATGCATTAGATCTTATGATTTGTCTCGACAGATTGCCGAAAAATTTCCATGGGCCGATATTTATTCCACCCGTAGGGTTGAAAACCGTAGAAATTTGGCTATTTTAGAAGACAGAGGAAATCCCGGAACGATTCGAGTCTTTAAATCCCCACAAGATTTGAATCCAGACATCGTGTGTTTCTTAAGTCAATGGGATTTTGGGATAATAAATCAAGACTCTAGACATATACCTCCATATACAGACACCAGAGATAACAGACTACATTGGTTTTGCCAGTGCTTAGAACAATTGACAACACTTAACATTAATTCTGCTGGAATATCACATAATATCGGTTGTGGATTAGGGGCTTGTGATTGGACCGATACCATAACATTATTAGTGCTTTCGCAAAAAGAACAAAAATCGAAATTAAAATTTACATACCGAGCCTTACACAGGGCTTTGCTCATTGTTAAATACCGTATGGTGACATACAGATGTTAATATCCGCGTCATTTGGTCTCTTGTGGAGAGGTGTCTCATTGGCAATCATACCACATATTTTTTTTTTATAATTACAAAGTGATGGATATAGAACCATAATTTATGAATGCTTTCGAATTTAAACCTCATCATCTGAACATGATGTATTACATCAGTAGAGAACATTCCTTTAAAAATTGGCCATCACAACTAAAAAACCAAACGAACTTATAAAAAATGGATTTTTCTATACAAATATCGGTGACAGAGTAACATGTTTTTATTGTGGTAATACATTAAAACAGTGGATGAAAGACGATACCGTCGAAATAGAACATTTGAAATGGGAGCCTAACTGTTTATTCGCAAAAATGGTGTCTCATAAAGTACCACATTTTAATGTCCTAGATTAGATACGGATGTGTACCACCCTAAATGAATTAGTGACGTCACTAATAGAAAAGGAATCAAAACCTTATGAAGTTGTGTTTAACCATTTGTATATTCACACTGGGAAGATACAGACGCTATGAATACAGACGCTATGGATACATATTATGAAGGCCAAAAGATTGAGAGATTTTTGAGACACACTTTCGATTCCCTGTATGCTAAAACTATATTAGAAGTCCTATATGATGTTGTGAAGGAAAACTGATATGGTTGTGAAGTGGACCACCCAAGCCAAGTACAACAAGCGTGTTTTATGATGACAAGAAGTGAACATTTCTACATGTATTTTGATCTAACATTCATCAAAATAATATTTGATGACATGATAATAAAATTTCGACAGCATGTTGAAATTATGGATATACCATTAGTTTATAAAACTACTGTAATCGAACAACTTGAAGACTGATGTTATCGTCATAAACCTAATGCAGAAACTGTGTGGCCTACAACTGAGAGAATGTTTTCAAACAGATTTGAAGATTAGCTTGATTTCTAAACTTTTGGTGTGTGAAAACAGTCTTACTATAACATTTAATATGAGTAGACGCATATTTCAAAACTCTGCTTTCATCAAAGCACTATATTATGCTCAGCCTCTTCAAAGAAAACTAATGATTGAATATATCTCACAAGACCAGATTCGTGCAATCTCAGACATAGCAAGTAGAATTCTTTAAGGGAGACTTATTGTCAACAGTGTAAATAGACAGAAACTCAAACATCACAAACGAACAATCCGATTTTTAGCAAGTCAAAGAATAAGTTTATGCAGAAAAAAACAAACATTGTTAGCGTTTCATGATGTGATACCAATACTAATCAAACCAACTGTGCATGTATTTGATGAACAATAATTTTCGGTGACTGTATACCAATATGTGTTGTACATATTTGTCATAATATAGCGATAATAAAACTGTATAAATATTTTTCTTGTCTACAAATTAAGTCAGTCTTACCGGATGATGAATATTTATCCAAATACTTAATGAAATAAATATCACAGGGTTTCACTTTTCACTCGTTCCATATAAATACGTCAAAATGAACACACATCAAGGAATTGATACTTTATTAGAGAAAACATACCATAATTTGTCTAAGCCTGGTTCAAATTTAGGTCCGGATAAACTACAGAGTCTTAAAATCCAAAGACATTACACACATAGGAAAACACAAAGTCCAAAAATGGCGCCACAATTAAGACAGTTATGGTCTGCGAAAGGAACGCACAAGGATAATAGTTACGCTGAACGGTGCCCACTGGTCACCCTATAAATAGTGCTCTTGTGTGTAGTAATATTGTAGTTCTAACACATGTCTAAAAATAGAAAGCTTAAAATAGACAATTCATCTTTCTATTTAGCAATACACCATAGAGCCTGTCACCGTCTGTATTATCTGCAAGTAAAATTAACATACCGAGCAATTGAATACAATGAATAACACAAACTTAAGCATATTAAGTTTAATTAAGTCATTCAAAGCAAAATAATTGTTTCATCCATTTTGCATGATTTGTCATTTGTGATAACACGTTTTTTTTTAAATGTTCGAATCACAGACTAGAAGGATATATTCACCCTAAGACTCTAAGTAGAAGTAGATATAAAATAAATTCACAAAATAAATAATTCACTAAGGCCGTGTTCACACCAAACGTCGTGTACAGTAAACATGTTTACATTTGGTTTAATGTAATGTACGCTAGTTTCACATTAAATTTGTTCACATCTATACACCTTGTTTAGATACATGTACATAAGATTTGTTCACACTCGTAAACTATATGTCATTTAAATGTTCATTACGTAGAACCGAATTCAAATTTTCGAACAACTTTTCTACAGTTAATAAACGACCACTTGACTTTAAAAAAAGGGGGGGGGGTGGATTTTTCCACAATTAGATTTAAAAAAAAAATTGAGACATTCAGACAATTATAGAATGAACAAATATTCTGAATCAAACGTTTTCCCATACATTATAGTGTTAAACATGTTAAATATTATATAAATTGGTACCATCGAAAAAAAACTAATTATAAACTTTCGCGCGAGAACTCAGAACCCCTCTCCCTTTTTTTTTGAAGTAAAGTGGTTGCTCCTTTAAGAAAGTCATTTTGGATGATTTGCAGTAGTTAAAGATGTCTCGATTACGCATTAAAAACGTAGGATTGCCATTAGCGTGCTTACAGACGAAGAAAAAGAATTGCTATGTTAAGGATCACTACATTTCTATCTCTTCTGTTTGTTTCAAGTGCTATTTTTTTTTATACAAGGAGTATTTGTCAAAGGGAGGGGAGAATGTTTTTTTTATTATTTCTAATAGTATTTTAACGAGTCTCAGATACTACACAAACAAACAATTAACCTCCCCCTTTTTCAGTAATGCATTTATAAGTGAATCGCTGTTTGAGTATAAAGACCAGTGGCAAATATTTCTGTCAGTGTGTACGTCTGATCGATTCAGGAAGACCTTTTCAAATGAACTATGTGTTCGGCAAAGATGATGGATGAGTCTTGATTAAATCTTCATGTAAACATTAAGTTTTATCAATGGGAACGCAATTATGTTTAGTTAATGTGTGAGTTACACTAACACAACACCGAGTTTAAGTCAATGTGAACACGGCCTAATCTTATACATGTAGTTGATGATATTGATAATGTTAAGATAACTTAAGCAATGGATGAACTGTATTTTAATATTTTTTAAGGATAATGTTAGCTGTCATAAAAGAAAGAAGTAAAGGTATGTTTTTAAATCAATTCTATATTTATCTTCAAGAAGAAAGGAAATGCTATTGATCTAGTGCCACCTTACAAACGGAAGACAAAAGTTACACAATACAAAGTTAGGGATTTACCTACTTTAGAGGTTTGATCAAGAGTACCAGAAGGTTCCATATTATGACATTTACTTTTAATAATATTTTTCAATGATTTATCTTTTGAGCTTGAGAAGGTTTCTTCTGATGTTATGCTGATCTTACAGTTTTATTTGTCAACTCAACCAGTAACATATTTATATGTATTTATGAATGTAGACATTTGTAATGTTGTTAGCTATATATAGTTGGTGTAATTATATTAAAATGCCATTGAACAGTATTAAGAGTAAGGTCACATTCTAATCGACTTAATCCTTTTAATTCAGGATTTAATATTTATATAATAGTTGGACCGCTCACAGGACAGTGGTATTGACTAAGGTAGCGATAATGACGCGAAGGCGAGGTCATTATCGCTGTCATAGTCAATATTACTGTCCTACGGGCAGTCCATGTATCACGATAATGACCAGTTTTTTTTGAAGAACTATTATGTTTATTTCATTGAGGAACTATGTTTTGAAAATTTTCATTAATTCAAAATGCCTAAAGCGAACTCGAGTAGTTGACGTATGATTTGTATGGCAGAGAGTGAAGACCAGTTGTAGGAATACTCCCATTCATTTTAGTGCAATTTTTCAGTATATAAATACTTAATCAAGTTCTCTTTAATTTTATTATTAACAAAAACAAATAATAAACAATTCAACAAATTAAATATAATATTAAAGAAAGGAACATGTTTTAAAAATGGATAAATCTCTCTAAACAGAGAAACCACGCCCCATTGGTCATTAACAGAGAAACCACGCCCCAACGGTCATTTACAGAGAAACCACGCCTCAACGGTCATTATCAGACGGTAACCACGCCCACCTGTCATTCTCATGTAAAAGTTCGTTAACGACCAGTTTTCTGGTCCGTTTTGTTCTGTTAATGAAGGATGGAATTTATTACTGAAAAATAATGAATGTCATATTACCCCTTTTTATCCAATAAGAGAATCTTATTCTGAACCGATATGAAATAAATAAAATTACAATTAAATTTACTAGTTTGATATTTACTTGGTAATTTTATACATTTAGAAGCTCCCTGTATCATTTATTTTTACATTGTGCCTTAAATAATTCAAGTCATTGATTTCTTTTAATAGGCTAACAAAAACACAAGTTTAAGTTTCTCATTAATCTTATCATAAGGGTTCATGATTATTTTCCAATTTATTTTAAAAAGACATTAGACCTGTGAGAAGTAGACTACAGTCAATGAAAACAAACAAAACGGAGAAAAGAATGATTTATATGGTGAAGGGAGATGAAATCACGGCCAGAGTCCAGGGACCAGACAGAATGTCAGTTCACCAGATAGGTGATTACTTGACAATAGGGAAATCAAATACTACTCAACAAAATCGAAAGGAACTTTCAAGACTAGTCAATTTGATTCCAAAACCAACAAACATAGTGCCACCGATCACATCAGCCTGGTCCATGTTAACAAACGGTAAGACTTTAGTGAATACACTTGATTCTCAAAGAAAACAGTTTATGCTGGTTAAAACACATAAATTGATGATCTCGTGTTTTTTTAAGCATTGATTGATTAGAAGGTAAGGAATGGTGAATGGGTCGAAAGGAACAATCAAACTGAAATTTGGAGAACAAACTGACAAAGCTGAGCAAAAAAATTTAAAAAAATGATGGAAAGTCAAAAATGCAATCATTATAATTCAATATAGAAAAAATAAAACTGAGCAACATAAACCCCATAAAAAACTAGGGTGGTCTCAGGTTATCTATATTGGTTAGCAGATCCAGCTTATTATGTGGTGCCCATAATATTGTTCATGCTTGAGTTTATGATCCCTTGGTATATAACTGTATCTTTTGAAATCATATGTCTACTGTGAATCATATACATGTCGCTTTGCCAATCTGTAAGACATTTTTTTAAGTTGTAAGAACTTTCATAACGGTGCTTAATATGTCTTATTACATATATTTATCAGCTTAACTGCAAGAAAAGATCACAACTGTATTTCACTTCATTTTCAGGTGATGTTGACTATCAAGTTCAATCTTTAAACACTTTGACCGAGGCTCTTGTTGACAAAGAAGCAACCAAAAAGGCTGTATGCAAAAAAATGAAAGGGACATCTGCCCAAAAAAAGGGTGACATTGAAAAAACTAAGTAAGTGTTTGAGGAGAATTCAATTGTTCAGTCCCCCAAGGGTGACTGGGGAATAGAAGTATGGTCACCATTGGTCTTCCTCCGACCGGCAGTAAAACCCGTGCTAAAGTGGGGCGTCCGTTTGGCTGTGCGGGATGTACAAATTTGCAGCCACGTCCGGTCAGAATGGGGACGTTAAATCCGATGCCTCGTGTAAGGAGAGTGCCACGCTCTTTGCACGTTAAGAACCCTTGCAACAACTCTTTGAGGGGTCCGTAGGTGACCTGTTGCAAGGCTAAATTTCTGTCCCTATCCAATATACCCCCATTTCCCGTGGCAGTCTAAATTTCTCCGACCATAATCCCTTAATCTATTACAGAACCTACCTATTGTATTTATTGTGAACTTGTTCTCGTCCTGAATATGCATGAAATATTTGCCACTGGACGTTAAGCAACCAACAATCAATCAATCAATTCAATTGTTCAGATTTTATGAACATTGGATTTATAATGGCTACAAAGGCAATCGTCTTCTTGACATCTTTATTACATACTAAGAGTATGGAATAAAATACACAATAGAAAATGCAAACATCTAGATTAACATGAAATATATAAAACATACATTTTCCAAATACCATGATCATTATGTATTTATCTTCTCAACAATCAATTATAAACTGAGTTCTCATCTATTCAATTGATTGCTTATCTGTTTCAATAATTATTCTAGACTAAATTTGTGACAAAATTCAGATCATAAATTCATAATCAAGTCTATAATGCAATCTATCTTTTTACACTCGAGGTCTATATATAGAAAATGAACAATTGTGTTAAAAGCGAATGGAAATGTGTAGTTATCATTTTAATATACAGTCAAACACAAACATACTACCAGCTGTTTAAAAACAGATTTCGTTTTAATATAACTTTATGGACACAGGGATTATGTCAAAGAAACAACAACCCGACCAAAACGTAAAAAACAACTCAAGGTTTCACATTTCTCTGTGTACTAAATAATAAACTTTTCAAAGCAAAATGACATGGAATCAATCATTTTAAAATTAATAGCATCGTTAGAATACTAACTATAAAATCATATACAATCTACTTCTTACTGGTCATAAACTTGAAACAATCCACACTACATGTTTATCAGAAAGCTAGGTAGAACAATTGACTTATAATTATTGATGTACAAATTACTATTTAATTTGGCCTTACAATTCGACTTGGTCCTTTGTTTTATTATTGATATGTATAACATTGCTATTCTCATTTATTTTCCAACGGTTTAACATGCTCTTATTTTGTTGTAGCTAGGAAACATTTGAAATTATTGAATACAATTTTTTTTAGTAATGACATAAATTAAGCATTATAGTATTAACATATTAAAACATTTAAAAAAAATATTTAAGTCAATAAAATAAAATGCATTCTTGTAAATTAAGTCTTTTATTTGCTTAGATTAAGTGATTCTTATTAAAACTAGAATAATTAAGATGGTGTCATTATATAAAATTGTGTAGGGAAAGAAATGTCCTATAATAATAAAATTGCTGTCTTAACTTATATTTGCAGAGAAATTGTTGGCCATGTTATAGCCGAACTAAATAAAACTAATGTAAACAAGGCAATGCATGGGAAAGTTTTTGAGGCCTTTTGGAAGACAATACAGACAATGCTGCCAGGTAATGATTTATTAGACACATGACACGTATTATCTTAACTTAAAACATATTTGATCATTTGCTTAAAAAATATAACCTACTTGAGACAAAAAACAGACCTAGTCCAATGTAATAATTAGCCAAGTTATCTGCTTGACAAAATCATCATTAGGAATAGGTATTTGTTATATTAAATTATATCCATTTGTTCACATCAGTATCTTTGCAAAACATTTCAAGAGCAAACTGTATATGTCCTACTTTTAAAGCATTTAAGCACCTATGTAACATATACAATTTTTGAACGAATATCTAGAAAAGGCAGTTTTTCAAAATCAGTATTATATTTCATTATTTTTTTCATTGAAATGGTTTACGAATGGATCCTTTCTTTCTGTGCGTAGATTTGAAACTGCCATCATCATTAACTTTACGCCCCCGTTTTTTCAGAACACACTTTCGGCTTACTGAATAGTCATGATCAGTTTTTGGACTTTTGGATTTTCTGCTTGGAAACAGCGGTTGCTGCTTTCGCTTTCTTGTTGTTTTGGAAAAGTTGGTTGTCTTACAAATATGTAATGCCGTTGTGAGTGCTTGACAAATAGCTTTCTTTTTTTTCACGTCAATTGTCTGGAAATTTTTATTGTTTACATATAAATTGATTTCCTCAATTTTTCTTTTAATAGCCTGGTCGGTTGTTTCTTTGTCTTCAATTAATTGTTGTTTTGTTTCATCAATTGAGGTAGACTCTATGTCAGGTGATGGAACTACCAGTTTTGCTACCATCACACAAACACAATGTTTACCATGGCTATTGGCAAAACATGTACATTTGAAAGAGGTCAAATTAACAACTGATACATTTCCCAATCTTGACAAAACCTCTACCTGGTTGTTATCTCTGTCATAAAAATGTTGTTCTGCATTAAATACATCCATTGCTTCTGATCTGCGCTCTACAGTAAGGTCGATGTTCCTTTTAGAAGCAATCAATTCAGCTAAATGAACATGCTTACACATTCCTGAAAAATAGTAGAGAATGGAACATAAATAACTTGTACCTTTATGGTTCACTTTCAATTGTACAAACTTTAAACAAAACCACTAATGAACGTTGAGTAAAGATTTACTTAAATTGGATCGCATTGTTTTAGAAAATTTGATGAGGAAAATGATTATTTGCACTTGTATAACTGATGACGGTTGATAATGCCTTGTTGGAAGACAAAAACAATCAAAACCGAGGAGACTCATAAAACCATAAGACATTTACAACAACAGTAAAAAACAATAATAAACAACACGAATTCCACTGAATACCTGACGTGAAATTAGGTGCTTTAGAAGGATAAGCATTTCCGGGAACCATATACGGTACCCGAAATTAATAATCTTGATTTCAACAATTCATACTTGATGGTGTACTTTTAAACATTGTTGGACTGACTTAAGATGCTAAAAAAATACCTCTTGTTGTTGCTGCTGGACAATTGCACACTTCATTGACAATGTCCACATTATAAATCGTCCCAAATGCTGTCTGTGATGGAACAGTGCATTCTGTGGATGAAGTCCATTGCACAGTTTGGTCGAGTCCTGCCTTGAGCATATTCTCTGCTGTCAATTTACTTTTGTCTCCCCTTTGTCCTCCCATATTTTTCAGGCGACCAATCTTTGCGAGTTCATCCAGATAGCTAAAATTACGATGTTTTTTTTAATTTATTTTTGGTTATGAAAACATAATTCAAAGATCTAATAATAAATTATTTCTTAAAAAATTGAATTCACAGTATTTAATATTCAATGTATTTGCATCTTAAATTAAAATGATCTTTCTAATTTCAGACGATTCAAGTGAACGATAAGAAGAACAGGATTGTGACAAATTTAAACTTACTTACTCATAAAACATAGTTACATTTCCATGGAGAAGGAGTAGTAAGTCCTCTACTCTGCTATTGGCATACCCACCAAGGAAATGGTATTTCATGCCCAGGAAAAACCTGATAATGACAAAATGTTAAGGACTTTGAATTTATGATTTATATTTGAATGTACAAATAGAAAGTACATAAAATATTAATGTGTTAACATTTGAATGTTATAAGTAGCATTATATTTTTTTGTTTTAATATCCTCATACACATCAGGTTTTGCTAGACTACATTTTTTCATTTTGTCTGCTTTTATGTAATTATCGACTTGCATTGACAATTATGATATTTGTATTAAATTTGCATAACCCTATCATGAAAGAACGGCAAAAATCCTCTCCATATAGTTAAAAATTGTAAAGTTTATATCATGCTATGTCTTTGGTTACCCATGAAGAAGTAGGATTTAGACAAAGTGTAATACTTTTTATAAATCAGGTCATAAAAACAGAGACAGTTCAGAAAATTTATCCCCAAAATAAAATATACTTAGTTACTATTATCAAACAGATGATAATTAGATGATGCTTAAAATTTCGATCTTGTAAAATATAAGGTGTATAGTAATAAAATGTATTAATAACCTTTCAACTAAGTTATTTGTATCTTGATCTTCATGAAAAAAATGTCTTCCATAGTTGGCCCATCGACATCCCCACTTGTCAGTACACCAGTTGTCTAACAAGTAGTCTGCTATTTGTTTGGAAGGCATCTTCTCTTGCAACATTTTAACTTTTTGAGAAAAGTCTTCTTTCTGATGAAAAATTATATTGACACATTTCTTTTGAGTATAAAATCAGATTTTATAGATTAAACACGCGTGTACTCATAAGCATTGTATATTTATAGGTAAGATCTTTAAATCGCATTAAGCAACTATTTGTACTTTCTAAATTATTTTACTGCTTTAATTCAATAGAGATTCATTTCTATATGTTTCAGTGGTTTTTTTTTTCATCTTTTATCAACCAAAATTCATTGATTGTATTTTTTATTATTATTATTATTGCGTTTTAATTGACTCTATTTGAAAAGTCTTGTTGATATGATTTTGATATTAAAACAATTACAATGTTGGAAAAGGAGAAAAAGATCCCACTGAGGTTTCATTTCTACAGGGATTTTTCTTATAATATAAATATATCAATAACCAATCGTGTTTCATTGTGAGGCAACACACTCGTGATTAATTTTTTAACAATGTTTCACATCCTCTGCATATAAAACTGTTATTATCAGAAGCAGGTCAAGTTATACTATGTAAATTAACATTCACCTAGTACATATTAAATATTCGAATACATTATTTGAATTTGTCAGGACCAACTCAAAATTATTGATCAATTTAAAAATTATTATATTTCACTGTGGTATCATAGGTTCATTATATTTTATTTGTCTTAACTATCACGTTTGATTACCTTGGTACATATTTTCATAGTTCTAATATAGTCAATAACTTTTTTTCTGGTATGTGCGTGCATGGGTCCTGATACACCAGATTCTTTTTTATTCAAAAATCTGTACACAGCCTGTAAATCAAATAATTTATATTTAGTTCATGTCTTAAAGATTCTTGATAATAATAATTAAACATTGTCTTGAATATATCATGACTAATTATTTTTCAACAAGATAATATTTGATCTATGAAAGTATTAATGCGAAAGAGTCTATTTATTAATTCAAAACTGACCTCAAGCTTATAAACACAAAAAAAAGATATAAAATGTTAAATCCAATGCAATTAATACTTATTGATCCAAAAGAGTGAAACTTCACAGAATAACTCTCATTTAATAACTGATTTTTTTCCCATAAAGAATAAGGTAAAATGTATGATACATATATTGAATAATATAATACCTGTAAAACATGAAACCAGCAAAGTAAAACAGAGCTGTTTCGGAATACTTCATTAATTGCGCTGATTTCTTTGGTATCTCTGTCTACCATAAAAGATCTAGTAAACAAAATGTAACACTGCAGTATCAACAATCTATATCTTTATCTCATATTGGTTTTATTCTATAATACTATTTGTTAATTTGTAAATAATTATGTAAATTCTTTTTTTTTTATATCAATTAGATTTTTAATTTGTGATTAAAAAGTTTGGAAACAAGCCTAAAAAAGCTTTAATTATTATGTTATGTATAAACCTGACTATGCTTTAATCTTAAATGCTTTGGTTTTAAAGCCTTGCTATAGATCACACTCAAAAGATTTTAAGGAAATTGATGTTTTTGTAAGTTTCATTAGTCCATTAGAAAAATATTATTATGCAAAAATTATTTATCTAATATTCTTTGCCAAAATTCAACTGAAATTATTGTGGACCTTAATTGTATTAATTTTGATATGCATGAAAAAATGTTTCTTTAGATGAATCTTTCATAGCATTGTCTATTTGTCATTTCAAATAACTATCACTGCACGAATATGTGAATAATGTCATAGTTTAACCTGTAATTTTACAGCCAAATTAATTAAAACATATAATTGAATGGTATTTATTTATCTTTTATATCCATATCAGATTTGATGTTGACTCCGAATAATGTTACTAATTGTAAACAAATAATAAGACGAAAATGAAAAGTGTTAATAAGCAATGATATTGAATTCGAAATATTGTCAACTTTGATACCCACAAACCTTGGACGGAAATCAAATCCATGATTTTCAGCCGTAGTCTTCAGAGATCTCAGAAATATTTTGACAACTTCACCAGTATCATCTGACGAGATACAGTACGAAAGAGGAGTGCCTCGGCCTTGCTGTTCATCTCTTGCAACAAGAGCATAGAATGAATAACCATAGGCAGTTAATCCTTAAAACAAACAAAAAACATGTTGTAAGTTTATTGTCACACAGTTCAATTCTTTTAAACGTATCAATATTTTAAATTGAAATTTCCATGATTATATACAAGTATATACCTTTATATGTAGCATCTAAAAACACCACATTTTCTGCTAGTTTCACCATTCTTTTTCTTTGTGCTTCATTCTGGTAAATAATTACTAATGGCTGTACTCCCCTACAATGTAAATGTTACATATTTAATGACCAAAAGTATGAGTATGAATTATATATTTTATGTTCAAATCATGTCCATTTAATGGAAAAGAAGACGACAAACTAGCTACATTGTACTCATATTAAATAACCTCTATTAAAACTGAAAAAGACAAAAATGTAAAATATATTGACAAAATATATGACTTGTGAACAAGTGTAGCACTAAAAACACTCAAAAGGATAAAAACCAAAAATACAAATCATCTATTATGAGAAGTCAGATATACGTTCAGTCTACAGAAAACTCATCTGTACAGCTCTCATTGAAACATTTTACAGACAAAATCATATACGAAATTGGACAGACGAGTACTATAAAAACTATTTGAACATAAGGCAATCCAGTCATGTCTGAAGAACAAAACAGGGTATCAATCAGTAATTTCAGAATTACTCTTTATCAGCATTATGCTTATATCAGTTATTAAAATTTACAAAAGTACATTATTATATAAGAATAATTACTCTTTCAATTCTTGGTAGAAAATTATCTCTTCCTTCAGTATTTGTGTGCATAGCTCGTGTACAGCTACAGCATCATTCTGGTGAATTCTAAAACAAATGAGGAAATATCATAGATCAATACCATTACTGACATATACAAAATCAATGTCAACAGTACATCTGTATAATTTGACCAGAAAACACCAAAGTTAATTTACTGTGTAAAGTGCATGTTTACAATCAGATTGGTAAAAAGATTAAAATGGTGAATAAAGTAATGATTTTAACAGACGAACCATTGGGTTTGCAAACAGTGCATCAGTTTAAAGAACCACAAACCAAAGGCTGTATCTATAAATGTGATGGAGGTAACCAACGTCATTTCCAGTGTAAGGTACTAAATACCAAATGCTCTTTAAATTTCACTTTACTAAAGTATGTAGATGTAACAAGACGGAACCAAGGATATACTTTGTGTAAAGCTATCATTTTTTTTTAAATTGTCCAGATGTGACCAAAGTTGCGGTGAACAGTGGTAACCAAAGTCAATATATGTGTACGGTTTCAAAAGGGATATAGATTATATACATATCTAAAATAGACATAGGAAACACAAGTATGATTAAGGTAGCCCTAGTCAATACCTGTGTATCATTATATATATGTTTCAGGTGACCAAAGTTAACAAAATGGTGAAAAGTGATTATCAAATTCTACAAACATTTAAGGGTACAAGTGGCGACCCAGGTCCATATATGTGTTCATTAACCAGAGGTTACCAAAGTCTGTATATGTTAAGTGTTATCAGAGGTAGCAAAGTCTTTGTCAATATTAAGATTTGGTTCAAGTTATCAGAGGTAACTGAAGTCCGGATAATGTGTTATTTTTCGATGACTGGATACGTAGAGACAAATATAAAAAAGAAGATGTGGTTCGATGACTGGATACGTAGAGACAAATATAAAAAAGAAGATATGGTATGATTACCAATGAGACAACTATCCACAAAAGACCAAAAATGACACAAACATTAACAACTATAGGTCACCATACGGCCTTCAACAATGAGCCTGTTTCTTTGGATTTTTTAGAAGAACAAAGTAGTAAGTACATATTTTAAGTAAATCTTTTGATTATGTTTTGATACCTTTTATCCATTTTGTAACGTTGACATATATTCTTAATGTCAACTGGTGTCAGATAGTATCTTCTATCGTGCACATCAAAATGCCCTTGATCTCTAGCCCATTTCCATGCTTTGCACAATATTTCCATGGGTTTTTTCCCCTATTGATAATGAAATAAAATTAAATTCGTGTCAATTACAATTAATTTCAAATTTAGTTAAAATCATTTTGAGCTTAAGGATTTTTTCAAATCAACACAAAATATGTCGTTGTATCAATATATGTCATTGTAAAAATATATGTCTTCTAGAATATTTTATCATCAATGCTATTCAGCTTTAAACTGGTTTTTTCATTAAAATATTTCATACAAGCGTCCGATATTTATGTAAATGCATTAAATGACTCTCTG